AGTGTTTCACCGTGTTAGATAGCCTTTCATTTAATTTCTTGAGTTTCAAGCATATAAACTTGGCCAATTTTCTCAAAAAATCAAAAGCATGGAACTTGGGACAAGGGGTGTTAAATTAACTCGCCTTAACAACAAGGTCAATCTACCTCCATTTTTGTGCTTATTCATATTTTTGTGAACATATAAAAAAATTCCGCCTTCCTTTTTGTCCTACCAAGGTGCTCAATCGAATCTCTTAGTCGGCGTCATTTCTCACAAGCTAGTGACGTTTGGAGTTGGGCTGTGACTTTATGGGAGATTTGGACTGGTGGTGCCCAGCCTTGGCCTGATATCTCCTCTTCTAAAGCCCTTCTAGAGGCTTTGCAGGCAGGCCGCCGCCTTGCTTGGCCGAGACTGGCCTGTCCTCGGAACCTCTATCATCTTATGCTCGCATGTTGGGCCGAAGATGCTAAGTCTAGACCAACGTTCGCCTATCTTAAGGATCGTCTAGACACGGTATGCATTTTTGAGTCCTATGTTGAATTTTTTCATATTTAAAGCAGATCATTTATATTTAATCTAACGACGAACGTAAACCCTTATTTTAATCAGGTTATTTTTACAAGGAATACTTTGTTAAGATGTACTCGTGAATTGGCTCATCCTAAGGAGGATTGCTCCCGGGCGGAGAGTATTATATTTATATTATCTTTTTCTGAAGTAGGCTTTGGAGCTATGCCAAAGTAAGAGATGGGCTTGCTTTAAAACGTAATCCTTTTTTCTATTTGCCCATAAGTATTTTTTCAGATACTAGTCTTCTTGCTTTATTGTTTTCTGGAGCTTGCTTGATTTTTCTGTATTTATTATTCCTGCTTATGTCCTATTATCTGAATGTCAAAAGATTCGCCCTGTTGATGTGATAGCAAAGCAAAATCTTGACGAAGCAGATCGTCTCGGTATTGAGGCAGGCGATTGTATCATAGTTCTCGATGGCCGACCGGAAAACTTTTGGTGGCGTGGTCAAAATAGGAGGACCGGAGAAGTTGGTTCATTCCCACGTGGACTAGTTGATCTTGGGCGCAATCTTTCAGGTTTGTTTCTTTAAAAGTATTGTTCTATTTTTCAGTTCTCTTTTTTTTCATATATTCAAATTTCATTATACATTCTTTTAGGTCATGACATTAGCGCACCTTTGCCTGAAAGCTTTAGCCATACTGGGCACCTGGATACGCATGGTTTGAGCTGGGGCAAACCGGATATTTTAGATCCGTAAGTGATTTTTTTAACTATTGCATTTTTGGCACATGTATCGACAGATTCTTATTCAGACTTACACAAGCTCAGGGCCAAGCAGAAATTTGTGAGTCAGTTTTCATAACTTGAATTCACAATAATAATGATGTTCAACTCTTAATATTACTTTCTAAGTGTCTGAGAAAAATCTATGAAGAGATAAACTTAGAATTTTTGGACCCCGAAATTTAGCATAAAAGAGTCAGAAATGAAGGCAAAGTAATTTGCAAGTATGCCAAAATATATTGTTTTTAGAGCCAAAATATTGATCTATTCTCAATAGCTGATTCTTGTTAATATCAACATCCTAACATTTATCATACTGAAATAGACGTTTGATTAAGCTTTTATTCAAAATCCAACCTTTTTAAAATGTACTTTTCTTGATACTAGATATAAAGACCAAGATGAAGTGGCCTTTTGTGTGGTCGCAGCCTCCTTTCGTTGTATAGAAGCTGTTTGACCTTGTTTTCGCAATTTGGTCATAATGGTAGGAAGACTTATAGGAATGCACCTTGTCCTGAGTCCATTGTATGCATAATTATTTCCAGTCGGACCTTGGACCTGGTACATTACCAGACGTTTCGCCGGCATCT